TTGCTTAGAATTGCTTTTGCTATTCTAGGTCTCTTCTGGTTCCAAATGAATTTTTGGATTGTTTTCTCTAGTTCTGTGAAATATACTGTGGGGATTTCAACCAGGACTACAATGAACCTGTATAGCAGTTTGGGAAGTATGGACCTTTTCACTATATTGGGTCTTCCTCCCCAGGAACAAGGGATATCCATTTTCTTATATCCTGTTCAATCTCTAAGAGTGCTGTAGTTTTCAATGTAGAGGTCTTTTGCTTCCTTCATTAGATTGATTCCTAGGTATTTCATTTTTTTGGATGCTACTGTGAAAGGAATTGTTTCCCTAATTTCTCTCTCAGTGAGTCTATTTGTGTACAAGAAGGCTACTGATTTTTGAGAGTTGACCTTGTATCCAGCTACTCTACTGAATCTGTCAATTAAGTCTAGAAGTCTTTTGGTGGAGTTTTTTGGGACTTCTACGTAGAGTATCATATCATCAGCAAATAATGACGGTTTAAGTTCTTCCTTTCCTATTTTTATTCCTTTTATTTCTTTCTCTTGTCTAATTGCTGTGGCTGTTTCCACAACTGTGTTGAACAGGAGTGGTAATAGTGGACATCCTTGTCTTGTTCCTGATTTTAGCATGAAGGTTTTCAGTTTTTGACCATTTAGTATGATGGCTGTTGGTTTTTCATAGATCCCCTTTATCAGGTTGAGATAAAAACCATCTATTCCAATTTCCTGTAGGGTTTTTATCATGAATCAGTATTGAATTTTGTTGAATGCTTTTTCTGCATCTATTGAGATGATCATATGGTTGCCACTGGCTCTGTTAATATAGTGTATTACATTTATTGATTAGCATATGTTGAACCATCCTTGCCTCCCTGGGATAAATCTGACTTGATCAAGGTGTACAATCTTCTTGATGACCCTCTGTATTCTGTTTGCCAGTATCTTATTGAGGATTTTTGCATCTATGTTCATTAGGGAGATTGGCCTGTAGCTCTTTTTCTGTTGGGTCTTTCTCAAAGCAGAGCTACTTCTGTCTTACTGTTGAAAGGTGGAAGACAAAAAAGAACCATTTTTAGGGGCTTGGTTTGGTTTAAAATGCCCTGCAAACCAGCCCCCCACCTCCACACTTGGTGGCCTGCCAAATACTCATGCCCCACCCCATCCTTTGTTAATTCTTCTTACAGGCTCTGCCTCCAGCTTCTATCCCTCTAAATCCTTTTGCCTGTCCACTTATGGCCCAGTTTGGAGAGGTCTGTGGGGAGCTAGTTTAGAGAGATGAGGTACTCGCATGTGGCCTCACAGGTGCCTGGGACCAACTCAGCCTGGAAAGCACTGGGCTCATTGAGGAGGTTAGTGAGCCATGCCAGTGTCTGTGCATCCAAGCCCCCACATGTGGCTATGAAGGACCCACCAGAGCAGCTCTGCTCAGGCTCAGAGAGGTGGGAGGTGGTTAGAAAGAAGCACAATGAGCTGAGGTTTGCAGGGCAGCAAGCTGAGGCTTGTAGGTGTTATGATGGTTGGTCTCACTTATGTGTGATGTGTGGTTCTCACTTTTCCATCTCTGGACTCTTTCAGAAGAGGCAGACCACTACAGCTTTGGGGCAGGCACCCTGTCGAGGAAAAAGAAAGTTCTGGTGACTCTGAGGGATGAGGGTCTGCGCCGGCGTGCCCACCTTGACATCAGCATGCCACACGACTTCCGCCCAGTGTCCTCCATCATTGACGTGGACATCCTCCCCGAGACACACCGCCGAGTAAGGCTCTACAGACATGGCTGTGAGAAGCCACTGGGCTTCTACATCCGAGATGGCACAAGTTTTCGGGTGACTCCCCATGGGCTGGAGAAGGTTCCAGGCATCTTTATTTCCCGCATGGTGCCTGGGGGCCTTGCAGAGAGTACTGGGCTGCTGGCTGTGAACGATGAAGTCCTGGAGGTAAATGGGATTGAGGTGGCTGGGAAGACACTCGATCAAGTCACAGACATGATGATTGCCAATAGCCACAACCTCATTGTCACCGTCAAGCCAGCCAACCAGAGGAACAACATTGTCCGAAGCAGCCGCACATCTGGCAGCTCTGGCCAGTCCACAGACAGCACTGCCAGCCACTACAGCTTGCCAGCTGCCCACGTCCTGCAGAACTTCCATCCAGATGAGATGGAGAGTGACGAGGAGGCTGACATCGTCATTGAAGGGGCTTTGGAGCCTCACCACACTCCCCAGACACAGGGCATACCTTCTGGCAGCCTCTCTCGGGCCAACGGCACCAGCCTTGTGCACAGGCTGCATCGGGACCTGGCCCTGCACAGCTCTGGGCGAGAAAGCAATGGCAGCATTCATAAATTGCTCAGCTCCCTGAAGTCGGATCCCCGAAACAGCCTGGTCCTCCCCCAGGGTGGGGTGGAGGAACACGGGCCCGCTATCACTCTGTAGGGCCCAGGCCACTGGAGGAGGCCACATAGCCCAAGGCCCAGACAGACCATGTTGATATTTGACCTATGGGTGGGAGAGCATTGAGAAGAGCTGGTAAGGCTATTAGTGATTCCAGAAGTAAAATTTCCAAAGAGAAATAAATATTTTACATTTTTGTATCAATTGTAAGAAAAATAATTGTATACTTCATTCCCTCTTTTTTAAGTCACTCCCACAACTGTATTCTTTAACTTTTGAACAGAAATTTAAAATACTGTCTATTTTTATAGGATTTCTCCATAGAACTTAAACACACATGCACACACTTTGGGCCAGGCCTGAGTGCAGGTCCCAGAAACAAAAGACTTCTGACTAAATACGGAACAAACTTTATTTTTAAATTATAAAAGTATTTCATTTTTTTTAAACGAAGCTTTAAAATAACTTTTTAAAGTAGTAAAGTTCATGTTTTTAACTTAACTGGTGCAAAAACACTCCATGATGCCCATGCTTTCTGCTGACCTTCTGGCAAGGCTGCAACAAGAAGGCAGGGACTGTTCCTAAGGACAGAGGCACCTAAATCTGTGACAGGTATGACCATAGGAGAAAAATTTCAGTTTTCACAATGTTTCACAGCCAGTTCAGGAAAACCGAGGAGTGAGGGGGGTATCACACAAGAACATACATCTGTCCTGGCAACCCACAGCTATGGAATTGTATTTGTGATGTCAGAGGTGCTGGTCCATCTTCAGCCTTCCCAGAACCAGTGTAGGAAGCAGGCTGCATTGGAAGGTGAAGCTCAGCAATACCCCAGCAATGTGTGCTTCAAAGCCAGTATTTACTCTTGAGATAAATCAGCCTTTTCCTCTGGGTCATTTGGCTCTAAGGAAGTTCTTGGAGTGTTTTCAGATGTGAGGGACGTGCATCACAGACTGTGAAGTCTCAAGAACAGGCAGTTGGATGTATGCGGTTATCTTGCTGTTAAAACAGCTAGTTCTAAGTCATAGTTAATACATGCTAATTTCCATTTCTAGAGTAGTGGTCAGGGGCAGGAATTTTTTTTTTTTTTTTTTGTACCAGGGTTCAAACTCAGGTCCTTGGGCTTGCAGGACAGGTGGCAGAACCACTGAGCTAAATCCCTGCCTCAGGAATTCTACTTTTAACTATAACAAGTCTTGTGGAACTTAATGGTTTTGACAAATACTAAATTCCTTGTCACTTCTAACTTAGGGATTTATATTTGACCCAATTAAATTTTACATGAATTGTGTTTTCTGTTTGAATACAATATCATAGGGAAGATGTTGCATTTATACTTTAAGAACAAACTTTGACCAAATAAATCATGTAAACACAGGTAAAAAGTAGTATTTCTGGGTTTTAAGGCTGCAAGCTCCACCTGTGGCTCCCCTTGTGGTATAGCACCACCTGCTGGTCAGTGGCAGAACTGTCCTGATTTCATGAACTTCGGATGGAAACAGTACAGCTCAACATTTTCACTTGTCTTCAGTTCATTAAAAGAAAATTCTTTTCCTTTTGGAAACTATTTATTGGGCAGAAGTATCTTTTGCTAAGTAACTATGTCTCCTACGCTGGTGTATGAGTTTCTCATTGTGTGCAAAGGACAGGGATCACATGTTCCTGAACACAGGGAGTAAGTTGCAAGATGCCTCCCCACCAGGTCTTGGTGAGGGTCAGACCCTAGACACGTGGGTGCTGAGGAAATGCAAGAGTATTTGCCTTTGCTACCACAGCAGTTGAAAGCATTTTTTATTAAGATGAGTATTTTAGACCCAAAATTCTAATGCTTGGTTACTATCACAAAGAATATTAATTTAATAAGTTACTACTGGCTACTATCTGTGGAATAACTGGGTCTGCTACCAAGTAGGAAAGTTATATTTCCAACCGTTTTAAAATTGTTGGAGCAAATGTGAATCAGTATTTTAAAGGAAAAAAGGCTTACTCTGAACTTGTGCCTGTTTGTTGTAATTATAAAAATTACAAACTGCTTACAATAGCAGCTTAAGTGTATTTTTCTACCCAGGTATGTAGTTCTGTCATTTTCTTTTCTTCTTAAAAAAAAAAAAAAAAAGACTGTCGTTATATATTAAAGGGGGTTTTTTGTTTTATATTTGAGAATAAAGTTTGGCTTTTGAGTTAACAAAATGCTTTACTGATACATTTTAATTGTGTTCTAAACAAAGGTAGAGTGTCCATGCCAATGACAGACAATGACTACTCCAAAGAGACTGATCTTTACCGGGTGCTTGTCACAGGCCATACTTTTTCACTTAATCCTCACACATTTTCTGCAAGTGTTATGGTTCCCATTTTATAGAAGAGAAAACCTTCCTACAAATGAGAGAGCCTCGAGTCCTTTGGAGAAAGCTTTTCTGAACACTTATACAGCCCTCCCAAAACGTGCCCTGGTTTGCAGTGTTCACTGTCATTCTGACATTACTAAATGTATACTGTTCTCATCAAGATTTACTGAAATCACAACTGTGGTGGCAGTAAGCACCAGCAATTCCTGGAGGGGGCCACACAGCCTCATCAGAGCTTCACAGGTGTCCTCACCTTACTAGATCCTCATGATGACCCTAGGCTATAGCCTCTTTCTAGTTTAAAGTTAGGGAGATGGGTGTGGTGACACATGCCTGTAATCCCAGCACTCAGAAGGCTGAGGCAGGAGGATCACCAAGAGTTCAAGGCCAGCCTGGGCTTGAAGACAGCCTGAACTACATAGTAAGACCCTGTCTCGAAAGAAAGAAAAGAAAAAAAAGGGAAATGCAAGTAGCCAGACATGGACCATGGCAGTCTGGATGAGGTGGAGCTGACAGTTGGGCACCAGTGCTGGACACATTCTGTAAAACACTTGTGCAGCACAGGATGAGGTGCAGGTACTCGAGTGTAGTCCACATCACAAACCAAGAGCATCTGTGCTGCTTGGGAGAACCATCCTGCCAGTGGATGATGAGATTTTTATCACAAACCAGGGGTCATTTAGTATCTTACAGCTTTACATGAAATAATCACAGATGAGTGGGGCTGCCACGGCGAGCTGCAAATGCTATATAAGTAACCTTTCCCTCTATCACAGGGCCCCTTTGAACCCTTGCATGAGAAAACAGATACCAGACTGGATGACAAGTTGTTCTGCTGGAGGAAAAACTCACATTAGCAGAGAAGTGAAATTTCCCAGAATGGCTCTAAAGAGCAAGCAGTCTCAGCAGTCTTGACTTAGAGTAACATGAGACTGAAGCCTCATGTGACAATGTGGAATGCACCATTTCCTGAGAATCTCAGCCTGCTGAGCTGAGACCCAGCCTTGCTTCCTCGGGAAGGTTAGCAGCTCAGCATAAGCACAAGCCCTTGCCACTGCAGACAAGTTGGGGTTTGTTCAGAAAACATGCCAGCCCATCCCAGGGCTCTGACTCCAATCTGGGTGGAGTCTGAGAATCTTCATTCCTAATAAATGCCCAGGTGATGCTGATGCTGCAGACCAGAGATGACACTCAGAACCATTGGCCAATCCCCTCCAAAAGTTATCAGGAAAGCATGGTTTGCCCAGGAGCCTGGCATTCATGACTGAGGATGCATCCACAGCATACAGGATTTTTCTTCATCACATTAGATGCCATTGCAGAGATTGTACCGTAATTTATGCACACAGACTGCTGTCCAATACTTTTCATCCCCACCCCACCATGCTGTGATGCTACACCACCACCTGCTCTTCCTTTCTCCTTCCTCCTCTAACATCCATCTCCCAAAGCACTCATTCCAGACACCTTCCAAAGTCCATGCACAGATTCACTCTCGCTTCTATGTTTCTTCAGTTAGGTTTTATTTTCCTTTGTCCTCATAAAAATGAATTAAAGAGCTTTTAGGTACTGTGACTTTTGTCAGTACTGAAACGTTTCCAGGGAAAGGCATAAATGCTTATGGCATTGATAAAAAACAAACAAGGTGATCCAGCATTGCTCTCAGCACACCAGTGAATGAGTCATTTTACATATTCTCCTCCACAAGCTTTGAAGGAAAACAGACATGCCAGCACAGGAGCCCTTGACAAGAGCTATATGTTACACCTGTAACATACAGGAGTTGACAGCAGAGGCACCAGTATTGGATACATTCCAGCAGTGCTGAATACAGAGATAGGAGGATTCCAAGTTCAAGCTCAGCCTGGGTAACTGGTAACTTAGTAAGACCCTGTCTCAAAATAAAGGGCTGGGGTGCAAATACCCTTGGTTCAATCCCCAGTTCTAGAAAATTAATTAAAAATTTAAAACTATACAATGGTAGATGTCATATGACCTATTAAGACAGTCATGGCCACCTGAGGGTCTGTTTTATTGTGCCACAACCAAGGCACATTCTCCATGTAAAGCCTACTTGTGCCTATACTGCAGAGACAGGTACAAGGCTCTGCTCAGGGCCACTAACCACAGGAAGCAAATTAGCAAGAAAAAAGTAATCTTTTCCTACGCTCCCTGTTTCTTACTTTCTCATGATTCTTGCCTTTGACAGCATTTTGGAGAGGGAGCATCTCTGACAACAGCTAGTGAAGACAACCTAAGCAGAAACCCCATCCTCAGCAGTGACCAGCTTATGAGACCAACCCAGTCTTCCCTAATGCTCACATCCCCTCTTCTCCCCACTCCTGCCCTCAGCAGCCAGTGGTCAGCAATCAGTATTGCACACATATGCCTCCTTCCACACTGCTGTGTTTCAGAGCAACAGTGACATATGAATGAGAAAAGTGTGTTCAAGGCTGAACAAGAACATGACAGCTGCAGGGGAGGTGGAGCATCACACCCCATACTGGTGCTGAGTATAGCACAGAGATGAGAAAGGACACTTTCAGCATCCCATCCCATACCAGCAATGTCCACAGAGGGTTTTCACCTCTCCTAGTGTCACCAAGGCTTGGGGACACTCACTGTCTCCCTATCGTTTTTTTTTGCTACCGGGGATCAAACTCAGAACCTTGAGCTTGCGAGGCAGGCGGCAGGCACCACTGAGCTAAATCCCTGGCCCCATCACCCCATCTCTTTGCCAAAAGTAGGTCGCATGACACCTGAGTCTCTCACTAGCCAAGAGAGTAAGCCCAGCCTGTGGACATAGAGTCACTTTCCCTGGTGCTAGGAGGCTTTGCAGCAGACAGGATTCAACTGTACCTGCTACCTGGTTATAAATTCTTCCATTACAAAAAACATTAAATGGAGTGAGTTAGGTAAATAGAGATAAACCCTAGAACTTCTGTGCAATTTTAAAATCAAGAAAGTTGTATTAAGCCTCTTTTCTGTTACTAAGAATAAACACCTGTGGCTGAGTAACTTAAAAAGTAAAGGCTTACTCAGATCACATTTCTGTGACCAGCACCATGGTGGAAGTGCAAATGGTGGGGGTCAGGCGTAAATATCACATCACCAGGCAGGACACCAAAGAGCAACTCAGGGGCCAGGGTCAGGATTTTACAACTGGTTCTTGGGGGAACTTGTTAAGGGTCCCATGAGAAATAATCCATCCGAGAGAGGCAAGGCCAATTACCTATGGACCACCCACTGGGCCCTGTCTCCTACAGCCCCAACACCTCCCAGCACTGCCACACTGAGAACAAGCCTCCAGCTCAAGTCTGTGGCGACAAAAGAAGCCAAAGCACAGCACAGCTCCTTGGAAACTTTTGAAAGCTGAGAGATGACAGGCTGTGTATGTTTGTCTCTGTGTGTGTGTGTGTGTGTGTGTGTGTGTGTGTGTGTCTATGATGAGAATGACATGCCCATTTTGGAGAATTTTTTAAGTATCAAGTAATTAAAGAAGAAAAACTCCATAGTTAGTATATTAGATAATTATTGATGTTTTCATGTTTCTTTAAAAGCTGTCAGAGATAACTTGTTACTAGATAAATATTTGAGATTCTACACAGAATGGTACTTTACTTTTTCTCATTTAACACAGTTTTCCCATGGTAATAAAAGTTCTTCCAGAATAGTACTTTTAATAGCTGCAAAGTAAGGAGACAGCTAAGATATCTAAGTTTCCCATCTTCTTGCTGATAGACAGATACTGGGTTCTTTTCCTAATAGAAAAATCACCAACAGTGGGAAGCTGTGCTTACATTTTGGATTATTTCCTTAGATCCATGGACATGAAATTACTTAATCAAAGGGTAGGAACATTTTTGAAGTCTTGGTTTTTTTCTTTTTCCTCTGAAACAGTATCACAGAAAACTTTCAAGGACAGCACAAAGAGCTATAGAATAAGCCCCCAAACCAATGCCCTAGATCAGTGATGACAAACCTTTACAGCTTCCAATGATAACAAACAGCACATTGCAGCACACATGCCTTAGGTTTGCTACCATTGCCCTTGATCCCCACCTGCTATTTCCACAGACAAGGACATTCTACACAGTCACAGGGCAACCATCAGTGAGAAAATTAACAATAACAAGCTATGACCCTCTAGCCCCTCTACTCAGGTTTTACCATTCATCTGGATAGCATCCTATATAACAAAAGGACATGGTTCAGAATCACTGTTGTACTTAATGGTCTTCAGTGTCCTTGGATCTGAACAGTTCTTAGCCAGGCCTGGATCTACATGACCTTGACACTTCTGAAGATCACAGGCCAGTCTCTATGTAGAATCTCTCTCCATTTTGGTCTTGTCTGATAGCCCTCATGGCTACGTACCTTTGCCAGGAACTACCCCAGAGACTATGCTGCATTCTCAGGCCCCTGGCAGGTGGCTCCAGTCACTGATGCTTTGGCTTTGCTCCTTACAAGACAGTGGTGTCTGCCAGTCTTCCTCATCAAAAACATATTCTTTTCCCTTTGGAACTCTTCAGTATTTTATAGGGAGTTGTTTTTTTGTTTTTTTTTTTGTTTTTTTTTTTTTTTGCACCAGGGATTGAACTCGGATCCTTGCACTTGCAAGGCAGGCAGTGGAACCACTGAGCTAAATCCTAGTCCCTATAGGGAGGTATTTTGAAACTAAGGCTATATCACATTCTTCATCAAATTTTTAAGTAATTCTTTATATCAGTATAAACTCATGGACTCCTATTTATTCATATATTCACTGCCATCATTATTTTGATATCAAAAGATTTAGCTAGTAGAAGCTTCTTCAATCCTTTTTACATCCTTTTTACTTTACACACCACTCTCAGAGCACATCCCTGCTTCTGCCCCCTCTTATACATCCCCTGCCTCAGACTGGAAATCAGCCTTTTCTTCAAGGCATTCTGGCTCCCACTATGGAGGACAGTTTTCAGAAGTCAAGATCTGAGCTCTGAAGATGTTCCTTGTTCCTGAGAGCAGAATTATGGCATCATATGCACATGTGTGGGGGCAACATTAGCAAATTGTGCATATATGTGTAGTAACACACATACATGTTCATAGGAGTGCAAGAAAGCCAGGCACTGGCCCGAGTTGCTCATGCCCCTGTGCATCCCCAGAAGGGCCTGTCACCGGACCAGGTGATCAGATGTCTCCTGGGGGTACACTCTGGGAATGTGCTCATCAACAAGTGTCACACAATCTATACAAGAGTGTGACTGTCAGTGAACCCACTTTCTTTCAGGGATCTGGAGCTTTCTGTGCACCTGTGCGACTAATGTCCCAATAAGCATGCAGGACTCGGGCTCCATGAGTGCCCCTTGTGATGACACGACTCATGTCACACCCTGTGGCTGGACATTAAGAACATCCATGCAATTTCCCAGGAAAAGACCACTTTGATTCTCACACCTGGCTTCCTCTACTCCCTGCTTCAAGAGCTGGTGGCCTTCAGCCTTTGTAAGAAATTGTAGCACAAGTCAAAGCAATGTCAGAGTCCTGTGGGTCCATTTTGGAGCTTGCCAAGTCTGGGGGTGGTCCTGGAAACAATTTCTCATATATATATATGCACATATACACACATACACACACACACACACATATATGTATGCACATGTGTGCACTTTTGTATCTCCATTTCCTAACTAGATACTGATACCATTGCCTTCCATTTCAACCCAATGCTACAGGTTTAACTTACCATTTTTCTCTTATTTGCAAGAAACCTGTTTCAATTATCCTTAATACATGTATTTGCTGATCATTCTTCCTGCATGTAACCACTCTCCCCTCAGTACCACCAACCTCTTCCCTCATCTCCAGGCCCTACACACCCACAGCCCCCTTTTGCACACCTAGGCTCCACACCCCTGCACACTTCTCAGCCCCTTGGCCCTCTCTAGGGGAAACCTTAAACCACATATACTGATAGTGTCCATCCTCCCCCTACTGTGGACCTTTCTCACCCTGCTGGACTCCACAAGCAGCTCTGGCCACTGCAGTTCCCTTCCCCTGCCCACCAAACCCTAGCTGTGCTCTGCCTCAGTGCAAGACCAAGAGAAAGAAAGGGAGGAATAAAAGGGTCTTGGAGCTCTGCATGCTTAACTGCCCTGTTGGTTTTATCCACTTCACTTATCTGGCAAGATTATTCAAGGACCTCTCAGCTTATCAGATCTGATCCCAGCCCTGAACTTAAAACCCTGAAGTCCAATTGTTTTGCCACTACCTTTCTAGCGCTCTTCAAATGGGCCCCTCAGGAATGGCTTCCTCGAGTCACTTCATACTGCTGCTGTCCTGAACAGGGAGCACTTTGCGTGCACTTAGTCCCCTCACACTGATGCAGCTCTCCTGCAGCCTGCTTCTACAAAGCCTTACCTCCTCCCCCAGTCCCACTCATGGTGTCCTCAGGACACAGGATTACAGGTCCAGGGTTGGGAGCTCTCAGAGCGCAAGACCATGCTGCTCATGTTCCCTCTAGCATAAAAAGGATCCAACAGGGATGTGGTATATCAATCAGTAATGGAGACAAAACTGGGTAGCAAAGAGGCAAGTACACCCTTCTGGTTCCAACACCCAAGATTTGTGCTGGCTCCAGCTGGCCTGTCAATGGAGCTTTCCCGTTTCAGATTCTTGAACAATCATTCCTTTCCATGTTACCCTGCTTGCCTGTGGCTTGAGAACAGCTCATGACCAGACACACATGAAGCAAAAAATGTTGGGATTTGTGATTGAAGGACCCCTAAAGCCCACACAATGCAGCCACCTAACCACATCTGAGTACATTAATTTCCTCAGCGCATCATGACGTTAATGGAAGCAAATGAGTAAAACATCCAAGTTTGTCAAATTTAGTTAATGGTTACCTTTACTTAGTAACCCCTGTCAGCTTTTTAAAAAAAAAAATGGGCTGGGGATTACTCAGTGGCACTGTGCCTGCTTCATAAGTGCAAGGTCCTGAGTTCGATCCCCAGGACCAAAAAAAAAGTCCAGAGCTTTAAAAAAAAAGTCTTTCTGGGTGAAAATAATTCTGCTTTTCAGATTATCTAGTAACCAATGCTGTTTTTAAAGAACTGTTAAAAACTAAAAATAAGTGAAAAACACAAATTTGTTTCATCATAAAATACTGTTTCTTTTTTATAGAACAAAGCTACAGTCGGGGTCTTGAGGTCCTAGAGTTGGTAAGTCTTGTGGTTATGAGCAGTATGGTGTATTTGGTTTATATCTCACACACTGCTGAAATTTAAACCCTAAGATGTAGACACATACTTAAATTACTGAGATTTTAAATTAGGCTATTCACATACCCAACTGAATTTGCAGCAGGAGGAAAAAAAAGCTATTTGACCTAGTTACTATCTTTTCATTTCATGTTATAATTTCACATCACCATCTGGCAAGGAATCAAACATCAGAATCTAAATCTTCAGGGAAGTTTATGTGTTCAGTGCTCCAGAATAGGAACATGGACCCAAGATATATATTAGCATATCATACCCAACAGCCTACACTGGTTAAGATTGATTTGAATTCTTGGTATATCACTGACAAATTTTAGAAACCAACATGTGAAAGTTAAACTCAACTGTCAATTTCCTTAGTTTGGAAGCCACCCAAAGGACTAGAAAAACACACTTCTGGCTATCTCTGCATGGGCCATGAGAGGCATGAACTTGGGTACTATATATGGTCCTTGGCCCTTTTCTCCCTAGCACTGTTGCCCTGCTCTGCTTCCCAGAAGCAGTAACATAAGCAGCTTTTACCCCACCATACTCTTCCATCATGATTGCAGCCAGCCAGCCACAGACTCCCTGGAACCATGTACCAAAATAAACCACTCTTCAAGTTGTGGATGTCAGATACTGTGTCCCAGCAATTGGAAAGCGAATACACTATACATATAATAGAGATCACATTTTTATGTAGCCAACTAATTTTAACCTCACCTTTTTCAGATTTTAAGTTACTCTTACATTGTAAACAAAAGTATGCCTTACGCTAAAGTCACTGAAATAAGGCAGATATGTAGAAAGATTAGCAGACTTAATTTGAACAGTCAAGTTAAGACAATAAACTCACAAGGATGTTAACCACCTTTGCAATCTTCACTGTATCCAACAGTTGGGTCTCAAGTTGCCCTTCATATTTTACATCATCTGGAGTGTGTGTATCATAACCGATCCAGCTCGATCCAGAGATACTGTGTTGCTTTTGGAGGAAAGGTCTGTGGTATTATCCCTCTGAGTATGCACAAATAATGTCTAGGGAGAAAAGACTGCAAACAAAAAGTTTAATACTTCAATAGTGAAAAATATTGTTGGAAGTATGTAACACTACCAAATATTAAAGGGTAGCTTAATTTTTAAACCAATGTGTATTAAATAAATATTTAAATGACATTAGTCATTCTGGCACTGAGCTTGTCTCCTTGTCTCACCTGTGCACTGCCTGTCCTCTAAGGGCTATCACCAGCACTGCGCTGGGCAGAGACCAAAGGAAAGAAATCTCATGACTTTTATGATAATCTCAGTCATTGGTTTTGCATCCAATGATCTGTATTGATGCAGGCTTTACATTGGAAAGCAGAAAGAGCAGCATGGTCATGCTCCAGGATATACCATTTTCTGAACTCTGAATCTGCCCAGGAGTCTCTGCAGCCACTTTGCCAACTCTCTTGAGAGAGCGAGGTGTAGCACTAATCCCTCTGACAGAAGTAAGCAGCTTGTTAATTAACTGTTCTGGAAATGGCATGGATCCATTATCAGTTTCTAGTACCTGGAAAATATATGATCATATTGAAAACAACTCTTAAGGACACAGAAGGAAATCACCCTACCCTGCCACTTTATAAGTAGAAAAATAGGCAGGTGAGGTAAGAACTTTGCATAAATTCTCAGACACAGATTAAGGTTAAATAGTTCACGTTCAAAAGTACTGAGATATCATTCTGGAGATGCTGTTTAAAATAAACCAAGTCTCTCAGATATGAGTATTTTGATCCTGCAAACAAAATATGTTATGGACAACAATGTGCAGTTATAAAGTTGTTCTGAAGGATTTCCAAGTTGGACTTCAGTTTACAGACACAACAATGTCCCTAATATTTACTACTAACTTTATAACTAATCAGGTTTCAAAGAGAATTTATCATTTTTCATGCTAAGCTTTTTATTTTTTTTTTTCTGGTACTGGGGATCGAACTCAGGACCTTGCGCTTTCGAAGCAGGCATGGTGCCACTGAGCTAAATCACCAGCAGTTAAGCTTTTTAAATAATGAACTGAATCCATGTTTAACATTTCAGAAGTGATTCACCTATTTTTAGTATCTCAACTTTTATTTTGGGGAGGGGGTTCGTCCAGTGTTGGAGATTTAACACAGGTCTTTATACATGTTAGGTAAATATTCTACCACTGAGCTACACACCACCAGCCCATTAGTATCTCAACTTTGACCTTTAGTCATCTGACCAGTTAGACATGAAATATTACATTTATGGACAGAGAAACTGCAATATTTGTATTGATAGCTGTGTGTTCTACCCACTTCTACTTATTTATTTGCAGTGCTGAGAATCAAAACCAAGGCTTTGTGCATGCTAATCAAATGCTCCACCATTGAGCTATACCCCAAACACCTCACTTCTAAATTAACAGCTTAGTAAACAAAGATGGTCACTATCACCCTTATGAACAAAGCTGGAACAGCAGCAGTAAACAGTGGCCTGGAAATGAGCCACCGTAACTGCAACACGGAGTTCTTGAGTAACATTATCAATTTCTAACATGTAAATTAGACACAGCCAGAGTGCCACCCTCAGAATCAATACGATAAGAACCTTCACTCCATGGGCAGGGGATTTAGCTCAGCGGCACCATACCTGCCTTGAAAGGCAAGGACCCGAGTTCGATCCCCAGTACCAAAAACAAAATTTAAAAAAACTCACTCCCTTTTCACCCACCTGCCTACCAGGCCTTCATTAAGAAACTTGAATCTTGGGCTGGGGATTTAGCTCAGTGGTTCCGCCGCCTGCTTTGCAGGCGCAAGGACCTAAATTCAATCCCCAGCACCAAAAAAAAAGGGTAGAACATGCTGAGACAGTGCAGAACACAGGGTAAGCACCAAGGATGGAAATTATTATTATTATTCAGCCCATTTCCTAGCCAATATTAAGTGCTTAATGTTTACTTACTAGTAAGCCCTTATAAACCATTAATCTGAGCTTGTTTTTCCATTTTCAATAAAAAGTTCACATATTTACACTGACAAAAACACCCACATACTCTTTTCAAAGCTCAGCTTTTATCAAATTTTGATCTGTAGCACTAAAAACTCTTTAAGTAACCAGAAACTACCATAACATTAAAACATTTGGCATCAAGGTGTACAACAACAAAAATAAAATCAGCAAGCAGATGACCTTTGTAGCATTCGTTCTCCTTAGGACTTTATTCCTCGCTAAGGACCACTTGGAAGTGACATTTTTAGTGATAACTCAGTGAGAATATACTGTGCTACTAGGCTCTGCCAGGTGAAGGCTAGGAATGCTGCTCAGTGTCCTACAGTGGGGAGGATAGTCACCATAAAGAACTATCTGAAAAGTAGTGTGCAGCTGAGAAAATCTAACACACATAACAAAAGACAGGCAAGGATTAAACCCCACCGGGCAGTTGGCTGCCCCTTACCAGCACCACAAACTTGGCCGCCTCACTAGCACTGAGCACAGTCACAGTAAGAACAAACTTCACAACACCAATAACCCAGTTGTGTATCTTCCTTGGCACTCTGGGGCTACAATTATAGAAACATCAGGAATCTCTAGTCATGCTATAGTCATGAGTGCCCAAGGGTGAGGCATTAGGAAGGCAGAAACTGAATCTTACTATGGTGGTTAGAGGTGAGACCTTTTGGGAGGTAATCAGGATTACAGTTATCAAGGCAAACTTGTTGACTGAATCCTGGTGGCTTTATTGGAAAACCAGGACAGATACACACATACACACCCACATACACTCCCTGTCTCACTATGAAATGCCATGCACTACCTCAGGACTCTGCCAGCAAGAAAGCTATCAACAGGGCCAGGGATTTAGCTCAGTGGTTCCGCCGCCTGCCTCAAAAGTGCAAGGTCCCAAGTTCGATCCCCACTACCAAAAAGAAAAAAAAGCTATCACCAGATCGGGTCTTCAGGGCTGGACCTCCAAAACCATGAACCAAAACAATCCTTTTTGCTATTTTGTGATTCTGGTAATTATTTCTACATCATGACAAGTAAACCTAAACCTAAACCTAACACATACACATACACACACACACACACACACACACACACACACACACACACACACACAACCTTTTATTGGCATTACTTGGGCTAGAACCCAGGAACCATCACACTGAACTATATCCTCAGCCTTTTTACTTTTTATTTTCAAACAGGGTCTCATTAAGTTGCCAAGTTGCCCAAGCTGAGCTTGAACTTGGAATCTTCCTGCCTCAGCCTCCCAGAGTGCTGAGACTACAGGCGTGCAGCACCATTCCTGGCTTGTAAGTAATGTTCTTTAGAGAATAAATGTAATATATATGTCCATGTTTACATTATTCCCAAGAGTCATATTTTTATTTTTGAGACAGGGTCTTGCTATGTTGCCTAGGCTGGCCTCAAACACCTGGACTTAAGTAATTCTCTTTTCTCAGCCTTCCAAGTAGCTGGGACTATAGGCATACACTACATGCCTGCCTTATAGTAATGCTTCAATGTTAAAAGAAGTAAGCAATTCTATTTGCAGTGATGTAACAAATTTTAATTCAAAATAGACACTCTGAAAACAACAGGTTAAAAAAAAAATAAAGTCCAACAAGCTCTCTCTGAATTTATAACAGAGTACACCAACAGTCACAGACCAGTTTCACAACTGCCTCAAAAATGCACATTACAGCAATTACATGCAAGCGTTAATTTTTTTAAACTCCATATAGCAACACTGTACTATTTTGCAGAGGCTGTCACATGTTCCAGATACTTCTACCTGAAAACAAGCTGGACAGGCTCCTCGTTGCATCATCTATCACCAGCAGTACAACTGAGGATCTAAACTGACTTCTACATTACTGGTTCTGGTGCTTTATTTTATATTGTATGGAAAAAATGAGGCCTGACATCCACAGAACAGTGATATAATAGAAATTCTTCAGCAATCACACATCTCATTCACTTGGACAACTAGGCCAAAGGAAAACCCATTTCCCCTGTTCTAATACGTCTACCCCTGGCAATCTCAACCATGAAGACTGAGTTCTTGTCTACTGATTTCACCTTATGCTTGAAATCTGTGTTCCTTTTCAGCTAGTGTCCACACATATGGGTAGAGATTTCATTCCTGAGTATCATAGTCCTTCCCATCAACTAGTTTATAAGCAGTTCAGGCTAGGAGAAGAGTTCTAGGTGTGTTTTCTCAATGTGTATTCTAAAGGCACTATAGATTCACTGTCTTACCTTTGAATGGAGAAATAACTTGTCACTGTATCAAAAGGGAAAGTATGATGGAAACTATTTCTGCTCCTGTAATGACTTTATTTATAAAATAACGTGATTATGAGCTGCACACCAGACCTCTGACTCAGGATATTTTTAATAAATGAAAATATCTGGTTTCCTATGAGTTACGATGTTTTTTGAAAAAGGTATCAGGACAAAACTGAAAAAGTATAAACCAAAATTATAATTTCATAAGCAAACAGCTCGCAAACAACAATCAGCAAGAGTTAATGCAGTGTGTCCTTAGGGAGCCATACACATCACAGGACTGTACTTGTATCTCTAAACATGTATGTGTCATTAGCTACTACCTGTAAAGCTAAGGAAGAGCAATACTTTAATTTTCTACTAATCAAGTATTCTCAAACAAGCTGAAATTTCCTAAAATTAAAAGAACAAGTATTTGTAATTTCAGTTTTTTATCATTTGATAGTGACACTAGTGAGAAAAAAAGGCGTGCATGGAATACCAAAAGATGTAATTTACATGACAGGGGAATAACAATTACAAATCAAACTGCAAGAAACAATAAATCTGAAGAACTATTCACTGCCTTGACAGAAGTCCTTCTGAGCACCTGAAACTCCTGTAGAGCAGCATAAAGACACTGACACTGACAACTTAACACAGCGAGGGAGAACATCTTTAAAACCTCAGTTGAAAACTATCGCCTAGCACTACAGACTTACAAGTTTTCTGGTCCATACTCGAAGTTCAATCTGTGTTTAACATTTTTAAGTTCAGACATATCAAAGCCTAGAAGTACAGAGGGCTTGTGGTTTTTTATTGCTTTCATGCAAATATATCTTCTTTTTCCAAAAAATGAAGCCACATCAATTTTCCACACCCATAACAGTGAAGACAGTAGTTCTATTTCTTTTCTACTAGGATATGGTCTCTTATGGAAATAATCTCTAAGAAACTGCTTTTTATCCTCATATGAACGGCCTTCATATTTTTTAGGATCTAATACTAAAACCTGGAGTGCATCATCATTAACCAGCAGTCCCTCTGTCCTACTTTCATTCCTTTGTCTCTTCAAAGGCACAGCACTTGTCCCTTTCTCCAGACCTGGGGCTGCCTCCGAATTTACAACAAGTGGTGATTCCTCCCCACCCCTTTGGTCTTCTGTCCCCAAATGGCCATCTGGCAGCTTTCTCTTTATAGGAAAGGTAGAATCAGGAATCACTTCCCCATTGACTAATACCAAATCGCTGCTCTCAATAAAATCTGGCTGGACTTGCAGGTCTGAGCTGCTATCCTTGGGAGCACTTCTACAACGCAGCAAATGAACAGCAATGGCGGCCAGGGTCATGTTTCCAGTGTAGACCCCACAGCAGTGGATGCACTTGAAGGCTGGAGACCTGAGCATTGTGTGGACTGTCGGCATGACATGGTGCCTCTCCTTCAGGTGTAGCTCATAGGCATCAGCTGTCACGAAGGTGCCAAAACAGAAAGGGCAGGTCAGCTTCTGTTTGCTGGGATTGTTGGATACGCTCTCTGGCTGAGGCCTCACCTTAATATACACAGGCACCAATGACTTGGAGTGGATCCCAGCAAGGATGGCCAGGTAAACCTCACGCTCCCCAAGCTTCTCCCTTGGCAATATAGTGACAAAATCAAGATGGGGGAACAGCAGGTTGCCATTAGCATCAAGGTCCAACTGGAAACCCCTGTTACTATAATCCATAGGCAGCCTCTTTTTCCCAAGGTGCTTAGCTCTGCTGTGCTCCAAGAGACCCCGAATGTCATGGAAAGTACATGGACAGAACAAGCACCCCAAGCCATGCATGAGCAAGTGGTGCATCAGCTCTTCCTCTGAGACCAAGCACTTGCAGGAGAGGCAGCGGACAGTTTTCTCCCTCATCCACTTCAGAAAAGGTGCACAGGCTGCCAGCTTTTCAGGTTCAAGTTTCTCACTGGACTTCGACTCACTGTGCTTGTGAGCCACTTCCATGTGAACCTGATAGACGTTGGAGGGGAAGAGTTCATTGCAAACCCGGCAGAGCTTGGACTCACTATTCTTGTGAGCCACTTCCATATGAACCTGGTAGACATTAGATGGGAAGAGCTCATTGCAAACACGGCAGGTTTTCCACTGCTTGGCCTGTTTGAGCACCTGATTTGTGTCCACCACAGGTGAGGTGGCCTGAACAAACACACTCTGGGCAGCACTCACTAGCACCTGTGGGGAGGGCAGGCTGGGCAGAGAACTAGCCATCTGCCCACCTGCACCGGATGGCAGGAGCTGGACAGGCACCTGGGGTGGGGTGACAGTTGCAACACCACCAACAGGGGGTACAGGCAAGGTCACAGACACAGGAGCTAGTGTGTAGGTGGGGATCCCATTCACCTGTTTCCCAGTAGGGATGAGTTGCCTGAGAATAGAGCCTGACGTGAGGAAGGCGGTGTTCTGTGACGTTCCTGCTCTTACCGGCTGACTCACAGGCAGGATGCTGGTGCTGACAGAATGACTGAGTTGTAACACACCAGGCCTCACTGGTGGGCCTACAGGAAGGACTCCTGATGCAACAGGCTGGCTGAGCTGCAGAACACCAGAATTCACACCCTGGTTCACAGGGACGACTCCTGAGGGCATTGTCTGGTTAGGAGAAAGCAGTCCAGATGGGACCACCTGGTTTGCAGGGAGAACCCTTAAGGGCACTGTCTGGCCAGGCGGGAGAACTCGAGAGGGGGCCGTCTGACCAACAGGGAGAACCCCTGACTGGACTACCTGGCCAGCTGGGAGGACCCCAGAAGTTGCTGTCTGTCCAGGAATAACCCCAGCAGGGGTTATCTGGCCTGCAGGGAGGACCCCTGATGGGGCCGCCCGACCCACAGAAATCACACTTGGTGAGACAGCCTGCAGAACCCCAGGGGTGACAGAGGGACTGGCAGGCAGGATACCAGGCCTAACAGGTCGGCTTATGGGCCCCCCAGGCTGGGTAAGGGGTAACACTCCAGGCCGGACAGCTTGATTCATGGGGAGGACACTTGTTCCAACAGACTTATTTGTAGGCCCACCTGGCTGACTCAGGGGCAGCACAGTAGGATTCACAGGCTGATTAAGTGGGAGCCTGTGAGAGAGAAAGACAGGCTGAGGAGCTGAGGGCTGCAGGGTGAGGCTGCTCTGGCACACAGGCAAAGGACTGGAGACTAGAGCCACATGTGACTGGGCAACAGCAGATGAAGAATGGGTAAGGGTCCCGGACGTGCCTGGCACCACTGGCTGTACCACAGATGAGCTCTGACTGTTCTGTGGCAAAGCAAGATGAAAGCAAGGAGGAGGGGTTGCAATGCCCGCAGCACTGGTGTTTGGAGGTATGGCCAATCGGGCCACTGGTTTTGGAGCAATATGCATTTGTTTCAAAAGTCCGGTTCTCTTAATGTGTTCTGAAATCACAGACCTAAGCTTATTCTCCAAGTCCCTGTGCACATCTGATGTCAAGATATGATACATTAAAGCGTCCTGGCTGCTGGCATTGGCGTTGCATTTTTTACAGTAATATCTGTCAGATGTGGGCACCTTGTCCACAGGAAGCACATCATTGGCTTTCAGCTGCTCCCCCATTTCCTCAGTTCGCAGCCCAAAGTAGGAGTTAATTAAGTAGTGGAAATGGGCCACCAGCACATGCTTCTTCATGCTATAGTACAAAGTATTTGAAAAGTTACATTTCAAACATGTGAAACTGATCACATCACTCCTAGAAGATTTAGTCTCACCTAAAATATTCACTGTGTAGTTCTGGACTTTCCGAACAGGGGCGTGGAACATTCTGAAGTGCTTTCCCACCACCTTGGGCTGTGAGGCAAATGCACAGTTGGGACAGGGGATCACCAGCTCCTGGTCAGCTTCATCTTCATGATAACGATGTAAATGATTTTTGAGTGAAGTAAGCACTTTTGTTGAGTATTTGCAGAGACTACAACAGTATGGCTTTGTTCGGTATCTCTGTCAAAAAAAAAGAAAGTCTTAGAGTAAGAAAGCTACCAAGGTATCTTCCTGCAGTGTATGTGTGCCATGCTCTTCCTTCCTCTTGTGTGCTATACTCTGACTCTTATCACCCTTTAAGGAGCAGTGTTTTTCCAAGCCAGCACTTAAGAGGCATTTTCTGCAAAGGGACAGACAATGATGCTTTAGGCTTTTTATGGGGCTTTGCATGCAGTATCTATAGCAACTACCTAGCCTTTGCACTGCCACTGTGGTGGGTACACAAGGACCTGTGAATAACAGACAGTATCTGGGCATAACTGTGGTCCAACAAAAGTTTATTTAAGGATAATGACTCCAATTTCACATAATTTTTACATATTGCAAAAAGTATTCTTTTTGTCTTTATTTAAACATTTAAATACCAACTTTCTTAGATTATTGGCCATAAAAACTCAGAATCTGGCCCAAAACTCCATTTTCTGATCCCTGTCAAGCTATACTCTAAAACCACAAATCTTAGCCCTTAGCCCTATCTTTGAATTAACTGCATCCCCTAAAATAAACTTACATATTTAACTTTCTGCAAGAGAAAGTGACTCCCCACACACACACTTTCTCTCATTTTTCTCAGTGCAAAAGTCATTTTAAACCCAAACTGTGAAACTCAGAATTCATCTACAACTGACCTAGCTTTCAAATTGTTAGATTCTTCATTACTGTTTTTTAACTTCTCCATTACTAGAAACAGGAAGAGGCAAAGAGATGATGCTTGGTGTATGCAAGTGCCCAATAAACTGATAAACAGTTTAAAAAAAAAAAGGTAGCCGTGCCTAAATACACATTATGAAAAGTCCTGAAATAAGGACAGGCCCACTGACATGGCACTGACCATATGGAATTATTACTTAATGAACTTTGGGGCATTCAACAAGCTCAGGGACTAAAAACAGACATTGACACAACAGCCTACCACATGTGAACCACAAGACACCTACTCTCATTGCACAAACAAGGATGCCAAGACCTAGACAGACTAGATACACTTCACTGGATGACCATAGTGGGCCGTGGCATGCAGCAACCTATGGTTGATTTCAATCCTCTCTACAAAGTTGTAGATACACACACACACACACACACACACACACACACGCACACGCCTACTCTTCAAGATGTGGTTACCCTCTCCTACTCATGCAGTTTTCCCTCGAGTCAAGACCAGAAAATTTATCCACACATTTAGCACCATGTAACTGTTTTCTCAGGACTGGCCAAAACCCAGGTTCTAGAATTTCTGTTAGGATCTCGTGCAAGGTCACAACCACACACACTAGCCCCAGCTCCCCTCAAGAGAATTCATTTCAATAATTCTAAGAGACATACTTTTTCATATTTTAACATATCTAAAATCTAGATGTATTTTAGAACTGTAGAACTGATGGCTTGTGGTACAATGCTGTTTAAGTATTATTCTAGTTTTATTGATGGCTCATTAAAAATAGTTCATCTTCAACTCAATGAAATACAGTATTAAAACTTGTTGGGGGCCAAGGATTTAGCTCAATGGTTTCGTCGCCTGCTGCACAAGCACAAGGAACCAAGTTCGATCCCAGGTACCAAAAAAAAAAAAAAAACAACTTGTGGGGCCAGGGATTTAGCTCAGTGGCACCACACCTGCCTCACAAGTGCAAGGTCCTGAGTTCAATCTCCAGTACCAAAGAAAATTTGTATATGCAACAAAAATGACACTCAGAAGAACCAGTGGAAGTTCGTAACAAGTGCACACTAATTATCTGCTAGTATTGAATCAACGTCTGGGGGAGGCAAATTTTCTAAAATGTGATACTATAGAGATTATCTACAAAAACAAAGATAATAAAACTGGACAAGAGTGTCCACTCCTTAGAAAGACTACTAGAAGCTGGAAAAAAACAAGTCACAGGCTGAGGTGATACCTGCAAACCACCTAACATAGAACGGGTACCCAAAACACATTTGGACTAGTTCAAATCCCAACAGGAAAACAAATGGTCCAACTTTTTCTTTTTTAAAATAGGCAAAAGAATTGAGCACTTTAGGTATCTGGATGCCAAAAAGACACATGAGAAGCAGTTCAACATCTTTAGTTACTAGCAAAATGAAAACTAAAACCAAAGCAATGCTACACATCTATGAAAATGGGAAACAGATAAAGTCAATAAACACAATGATGGTGGGGATAGCAAAACCATGCAGCCACTTTGAAGAACTCTGATATGAAAAGCATGTAAGAGGTGAGGATATAGCTCAGGGGTAAAGTACTTGCCTAGCAATACCCTGGGGGTTTAATCTCTAGTAACACACACACACACACACACACACACACACACACACACACACACATGCAGAGAGTTACTATATACTGAATATTATAGGACATTTTAGGAATTCTGATGAGAAAAATCAATGAGGCATGAAATGCATGACATTAAAGATCTTCAAACAGGCAATCCTTGTTTAATGATTGAGTTCCATTCCTGAGACTAAGTCGTTAAATGAATTGGTCATTAGATGAGGAACTATATATACAGTATATACATTACAATATTCAGAACAAAGAAATGGTCAAAGAAAATTCCAACTTGATGACTTTGCTTTTATTTGTATAACTCTTACATGTAGTACTATAAGGTATAACAACATAAAACTATAGTACTGTATTATACAGTACAATCAGCTAAAGTTACAGTACTCTATGAACAAGTTTACTGTACAAAAATAAGACACTGAGGCTATATAAGCAAGATGTACAGAACAGCATTTAAAAAAAAAAAAAGATATTCAAGCTAACATTTTTGTCACTGAATCCTTCAAAGTCCTGTCGGTATCATCATCAGAATTATGATCAGAAGTAAAAGGCCCAGTTAAGGGAGATGACAAGGTAGAAATGGAAAAACTAAGTAGGGGTCCTGGGTATAGCTTTCAAGAATAATCCCACTGGGCATGGTGGCACATCCCTGTGATCCCAGCACTTGGAAGGCTGAGGCAGAAGGATCGTTGTGAGTTCAAGGTCAGCCTGGGCTACATAGTAAAATCCTGTCTCAAAAAACCAAAAAATAAAAAAAAAGAAGAATCCCATTTGTGTAATCTGCTTTGTCATTTTCCTTTTTGCTTCATAAACTTCATGATAGCATTGTAAAAGTTCACTCATTGGCTGTTCCACTTTCATGAACCATTCAACATTTGGATCTATACCTATACCCTCTAGTTCTAACATAGTTGCATTCACTTTTGAGAACACATCCACTAATCCCTTTGCAGTGAACTTCTTCAATTCTTCCCTCTTTCTCCTCCTCCTCCCCTTCTAAGTCTTGCTATGCTTCTAACTCTATTAAATCTTCTATACCTACCTCTCCCTTAGCATATTCTACTAATTCCTCAATATCTTGCACTTCAACCTCCAAATTAAACATGTTAGCAAGTTCCACAGTTGTTTCATTTATGACACTGACATGTTCATCTTTGTCAAATGCTCCAAGTCATGCACAAAACGTTTTGGGCATTTTTTCCATATTTCTTGCATATACTTTTCTGTCACTCCTTCCCAAGATGATTCAATGTTCTTTTTTTTGGTACCGGGCATCGAACTTGAGACCCTGCGCTTGCGAGCCAGGCGGTGGAACCACTGAGTTAAACCCCCGGCCCTTCAATGTTTTTAATGTAGTCTAAAATGGTATATGATTTCCAGAAATCACCAAGGGTTACTTCACTGTTTTCTGTTGCTGCTACAGCTTTGCAAAAAGTTGTGCACAAATACTACACTTTGAATGTTAACTACAGCCCCCTCATTCATGAACTGTAGGATAGCAGTTGTGTTTTTAGGCAGACACAACTACTTTTACCTCTGTCTGGGTATATTACAATCATCGAGATGCGGGGGGTATCCTGGAGCACTATCAAGCAGGAAGATAATTTTAAAAGGAAGACCCAGGCCGGGGATTTAGCTCAGTGGTTCCGGCACCTGCCTCGCAAGCACAAGGACCCGAGTTCGATCCCTGGTACCAAAAAAAAAAAAAAAAGGAATACCCTTTTCCAGACGGTAAAACTTCACTGAAGGTATAAAGCAGCTGATGAACCAATCTTCAAATAAGGCTACTGTCATCTATGCCTTATTGTTTGCTCCATAGTAAAGAGACAGTGCATGCTTACTAACCTGCTTCAATGTACCTGGGTTCTCAGAGTTATCACTGAGAAAGAAAGGCTTCAACTTGAACCCAGTAACATTTCCTCCCAACAACAATGTGACTCTGTCCTTGAAAGCCTTGAAGTTGAACATTGTTTTAACTTCTTTGTGTACATAGAAACTTTCTAGCATTTTCTTCCCGAAAAGTCCAGTTTTGTCCATACTAAAGATTTGTTCTGGACAGTAGCCACTTTTCTCAATGATTTTATCAAATTAGTCAAATTTTTCTGCTGCTTCTACCTCACCACTAACACTGATTAGGCAGGCTGAATTTCCAACAAACCCGCTGAAACCATCTATGACTTGTAAAATTTTCCATCAATTCTTTACCTTCATATCCCTTCAAAGTCTTGAATATACTGAATGCCTTGGTTTGAAATACTAAAAAACTCAATAGTATTCTTTTTTGTATCTAGTCATCAAATCAGATCAATTTTTCCGTGTCATGAGTGAGCCTTTTCCGTTACCTAGTAACTATGGTTTAAAACTGTTGATATTTTCGCTGCCTCTTTTATTGTCTTTATCCTCCAGGATTGTTGAAATGGTTGAATACCCCAGATTCAAGTCCTGTGCTACTGCTTTAACTTTTTTTGCCAGCTTCATAGTCGATTACGATCTTCATTTTCATGTCAAGATAACCTTCTTTTGTTCCTTGCTACTTTCTCCTGGTGAATAGACGCTTTTCCGTTTTGATGGTATCTCGTACTAAGGGGTACACAATAGTGCAATACAGAATAAGGTACCCAGATCTAACAACACTACTGCTTATAAAAAAGAAGTACTGTAATGCACATTGTCACACTACAGGTACCCACCTGGGTTGGACATCAGAAAAAACACACTGTACGGTAGTGTTGCAAATATACAGTACTGTCCATACAGTCCTGTAGGCAGTATACTCACCGAGGAATCTGTGGAGTTTTTGCACACAGAATCAAATACTGATATTCCTCATTTTAATGACCTACCTGGTTAACAACTTTTCGGACTTACAACCTGCTGCTCATACTTATGATCTGTCTTTTTTTTGTACAATTCTGTACATCTTATTCATAGAGCTTCAATGTCTTTTTTTGTATGGTACAGTTTATACAGTACTGTAATTTTTGCTGACTACTGTAGTTTTGTTATTATACATTATAGTACTGCATGGTAAAAGTCCAGCAAATAAAAGCAAAGTCATGAAGTTGGAGTTTTCTTTGACCATTTCTTTGTTCTGAATATTGTAATGTACACATTTAGTGACTAATTCATTTAACAACCTAGTCACAGGATCGTAACTCAGTCATTAAACGAGGAGTTTATGATACCGAAGTAAAAGAAGCCACCAAAGGCCTCAGTATCATTCATGTTCCTGCATCATAAGCCTGAATGGAGATCACAAGTCTGAACATCGTACCTTGGTCATTAAGTCTGAACAGTCATTAAAGAGGTAGGTCATTAAGTGAGGAATATCTATATATAAACAGACTGAGGACTGAACCCAGGGCCTTCAAATTGAGCTACATTCTCAGCCCTTTTTTAATTTTTTGTTTTGAGATGGGGTCTTGCTAAATTGCTGAAGCTGAGCTTCAATTTTCAATCCTGCCTCAGCCTCCTAGAGTGCTGGAATCACAGGCTTATGCCACCACACCCAGAAGCATTATTTTTTACTCAAAACAGTTATTAAATCAAAAGTTCAGTGGCTTTTTAGAATGAAGAAGAAACAGTAGTTTCACTGTATCACTAGACCAACTCTGTATTCAGAGAACTCTGAAAGCATTAATAATCCTGGATGATCAAACATTAAGTTATGTTTTTCTCTTACCTCCAGGAATGGTTACTTCATGCCTCTTTTCCACTCATTCACCATCAATAACTGTGATGATGTTCCTCACCCCTAATGAAAATCAAATAGAAAGATACATACCACTTTCTTTCCAGAAGGTTCCCAGAGAGAAACATCTCCCCACGATGTGTTATAAAAGTACTTCTCTCCTGGATCAAAGCCTTTAAGGTCCTTTTAAAAACAGAGGGGAAAAATCAATATACAAATTTAGAACATAAATATTTATTAGAACCTAATGAGATTGACACATAAGAAATCTACATGGACAAAGACATGAAAGTAAAAACATTAGCAAATTTTGACAGAGTGAGTACCCACGAGAGTGTAAGAGCTGAGGAAAAGTTGAAATGACCCAAGTTAAAATTACAGTTTCATAAGAAATAACCAGGTGAAACTTCAAACAAGAAATTATCTACATTTTTGTATATGCAAACTAAGCCCAAATATAGGTAAGGATTCTCAAAACTCAGGTAGCTTTGTGAGTACACACACAGAAACAGCAAAGTGCCTCAAAGTACAAGAGATTTTGAAGCCAGACATGGTGGCACACGCCTGTAATCCCAGCACTTGGGAGGCTGAGGCTGCCCCAAATTTGAGAACAGCCTGGGCTACACAGTGAGTTCAAGACCAGCCTAGACTATACAGCAAGACCCTATCTTAATAAAAAAAAAAAAAAAAACCAAAGAACTTTACAAAAAATTTTATCCTAAACAGTCTGTTTAAAACTGTACCATGGGGGCTGGGGATTTAGCTCAGTGGTTTCACTGCCTGCCTCGAAAGTGCAAGGTCCCGAGTTCAATCCCTGGTAGCCAAAAAAAAACAAACTGTACCTTGCCACTATTTATTTAGTCCATTTGTCTTTAAAAATGAAAGTGTATTTTTATCTTACACTATACCTTTCACAGCAGGATCAACCAAAATCTAGAACATACAGAAGGTTTGATGCTCAGAACAGTCATTTTCCACTCAAAAAGTTACTTCCTCCAAGAAAAAAGACAGAACACATTGTGAGGGAGCTGGGCATAGCGGCATACGCTCATAATCCCAGCAACTCAGGGGGCTGAGGCAGAGGGATCTCAAGTTTGAAGCCAGCCTGGGGCAGACCCTGTCTCAAAATTTAAAATTTAAAGGACTGGGTGGGGATGTAGCTCAGTAGTAAAGAACTTGTCTAGCATGACAGAGGCCCTAGGTTTGATCCTTAGCACAGCCAGAAAAAAAAGAGAAAGGGGTAAGGGAAACCTATCAGTAGCTGTGAAAAAAATGAGCTCAAAAAGGTTGTTTGGGAAACACTGTGTGAAAAAGCCTCCAAGGAATAGGGCAGAATGCTGGAGAGGGGAAAGAGGCACATGAACCAAGAAGACTGGAAAGGTGGGGAAGGGGGGAGCAGGGACCCCATCTAATTGCAGCTGACAGGGCACCAAACGGTGGGGGGAAGGGGTTGGAAGAGATGAAGGAAGGCAAAATATATTCCTCATCTTTTTGTCCTCTACAATAACTTAAGCCTCAAATGCTCAATGCTAGACTCTGGGGACCCAACCTCAGTAAGACAGATTTCAACCTCAGTTTCACAATTAAGAAAGATAATTTAGGAGAAAAAATTTACAAGCAAATACTGGCTTCCATTAGTGGTAAGTGCTATGAAAAGTTATGTCAGAAAGTGTAGCAGCATAAAGTGTAGAGCTGGAGCCCAGCTGGTCTACCGGGTGTGGCCGGCCAGTAAGACAAGGGAGGGAGGGCAGAGTAAAAGAGGGCAGGGGAGGGGAGGGG